GGGGGGGGGGGGGGGGAGGCGGGATCCCATTAATTTCCGATAAACAAACCGGCGATTCAATCCGTAATTGAATTTTCTTACAAGGAAAATGTAATAAAAAGAAATCATTTCTCTCGTACGAGGTACGAGTGTAGCCGTGTATAATAAAACTGTCGCTACTGCACGCCAAATGAAAGTTTCTATCGAATATGAATATCACTGAACCGCAAAACAAGGACGGGAATCTACAATCTATCGGGGGAGAGGGGGAATTAATTAAGTGCACGTCGTTACCGAGGTCGTATCGATAATATCGTATTAACAGTTCGAAGATTTCCTCTCAATAGCTCTAATTCTTTTCTTTTCTCTTTTTCTCTTTCGAACCAGTTTGCCCTTTTCGCGAGCGGACTCAGTCGGGAGCGACGAAAATCCGGGCTGTGATCACTGTTACCGCCCAGCTCGCGTTTCACCCCCGCCCGCCTTGCGGAAAAGTCACGCATTTGCGCCGGATCTCATCCGGCGGCAACGGGCTGTCAGCCGCGTTACTGCTCGCCGAGCTCGCACCAGCGTTTTTCCTTGAACGATCCTCCGAGCGCGACGAGCGCGCGAAATTTTTTTTTTACTACGCTCGATAAGAACGTCCTCGAGCGTCTTCTTCTTTTCCGCCGCGTCGTATATAAACCGCGACGGCGGAAAATCGCGTGATACAATCGCAAAGATGTTCGGCCGTGTCATCCACGTCGGCCTGCTGCTGACGCTCGTTTTGACCTCGGGAGAGATCCTCAACCGGGGATGGTGGAACCATACGGTTTTCTATCAGGTTTATCCTCTCAGTTTTATGGACGCCAACGACGACGGTATAGGTGACCTCAAAGGTAAGGGAAAGCTAACGGACGAGCGACGAGATGCCATTTTACTTCGGACGTGTCTCTTCCCTCTTACAATCTCGCGTCTTACTTCCCTCCCCTCCCCCCTCCCCCCTTTGTAATAATGACACTCGTGATAAGCATCGACGAAAACGTCGCGACTCGCCGTAATTGCACACCGTTCGGGAAAACAGAATAGTTTCATAACAGAGACGTAGCCTCGAAGCTGTCGCGCGAGATTTCGTTTTCAGACTCTGCCGCAATGGGGCGCTGACGTAAAACATTAAAATCGCACCAAAAAAACTCACTGAGAAAAGCTGTTTCAAATCGTTAAGTCGCTTTTATATTGCAAACTGTGGGCGAAGAATCTACAACGTAAGATACAATACGTGTTTGCGATTGTACTCGCGATGTATTGCAAGTCTCCAAGTTTTCCATCATGTCTTGAGATCCTTATTGTGCGTGCAACAATCGTGCTATTTTACTTCGTACGTGTCATGTTCTATTCTTTTCCTATCCCAATTCCAATAATAGATTAAAAACGCTTCGTATAGTAACACATTCGCTTGGGTGATTTATACTTGAAGATAAGACATCTCCTTTCCCTTAAGCAAATGTGTTAAGTAATACCCGTGTGGAAATTTAAGCAGGGATCCAGTTGG